GAGCCTTGAATATAATACCAGGGACTACCTATTGACCATCCCTAATAGGTTCATTATTCATTTGTCCTACATATTTTTCTCCATAGATTAATCAACCTATATTGATTCTAGAAGACAAGGCAAAGTTCTTATACTTCAGTACATCCCAATATATAAGTTTCTGAAAAACACTTGAAATAGCCAAATGGTTTCATAGTCATCAAGTCTCTCTTTTAACAGTGATAATATATACTCCCCCCAAATTATAAAAAGCACAGATGTAAATAAGCTGGAATAATGATGAATTTCAAAGGACTTTGATGGATAGTTGTAGTTTTTGAATTCCAAAGAAAAAGTATATGAATTCTGGTGAAAAAGACAAGTGAAGAAGACGTGCAAGAATTGAAATTTAGAAATTCCCCGTAGGAATAAAACTGAAGGAATGTGAATTGTATGCAGAAAGAGCAGCCTGCAAGTTAATGTGTTAAAGTGGAATCAGCAAAAATTGCCCTAATAAAAAGATATTAGTTATGGCACTAATTTGATCGCCTATTGTACATTACACTTTGGAAAAGTCACCTCTGACCTTCTGTGCCCTCATCTATAAAATGTGAATCAAAATACCAGTTCCGAGGCCAGGCGCGGTGGCTCACGCCTGTAATCCTAGCTATCTGGGAGGCCAAGGCGGGCGGATTGCTCGAGGTCAGGAGTTCGAAACCAGCCTGAGCAAGAGCGAGACCCCGTCTCTACTATAAATAGAAAGAAATTAATTGGCCAACTAATATATACAAAAAATTAGCTGGGCATGGTGGCGAATGCCTGTAGTCCCAGCTACTTGGGAGGCTGAGGCAGTAGGATTGCTTGAGCCAGGAGTTTGGGGTTGCTGTGAGCTAGGCTGACGCCACGGCACTCACTCTAGCCTGGGCAACAAAGCGAGACTCTGTCTCAAAAAAAAAAAAAAAATACCAGTTCCCCCAAGTTGATGGGATTATAAAAATCAATTAATTGAATCTTTAGAAAAAATTGAAAGCTCTAGAGCATTGTTTATTTTTTCATGCACTCAGTTATAAGTAAAGCCCATCATAAAACATGGCATATGTGTGATTGCTAAGGAACAACATTAGCATATACCACAGTCCAGATTCTAGCTATGATAATTAACACTGCTTTTGTAGGAGTGAATAAGCTTTATGCCTACTTGGACTTCAAGAAGCAGTCCCCAAAATATTAATAGTTGCTTTCCCAAATTAAAGGAAAGCCTTCTTATCTGCTTAAGAATTAATTGTTATTCTACTGCCTTTTTAGACCCACTGGCAAATTCTATAACACTACCTTTCATGTTTAAAACTGAAGATCAGTATGTGCATTGTGTGACTGTATTTGCATAAATATATGTAAAATATATTATGATAGTTTAATAGATGTAGAAAAGTAGATGTAAACATAGATTAATATACAAAACAAAGGGTGCCTAGATTATTGACCTCTTTGTTGAAAGGAATCCTGTATGTGAGATAGTCTTCCTGGAAGAAAATGGGCCAGTCAGGATAAGGCACTGTGAAATTTCATAGAAATGTTGGTGAGCATATAACATTTGGACTTGTAAAGATCTCTTATATGACCCCTAAGCTGGCCTACATAAATTGTGAGTATAATTAAGCAAATAGACTGGGAGGCTCAGAACTCAATTTGCAGATATGCCTTGGGCTTCCTCTGAGGCTTTGCCCTGAACCCAGGGAAGTTCTCCCTGACAGAGGAAAAAGACAGAAAATGCATTTCCTCAAAATACAAAGGTTTACTACCTAGGATAGGCTGTTTACTTGAGTGGAATGGAGCTGCCATTCTTAAATCACCCAGTTTAAAAAAGCTACAGAGACTTCCATGGCACCTGATAAGACCAGAGCTGCTGTGTGAGCCTCTTCTCAGAGCTCTTACCCAGACCCAGGAGACCCACTTAGAGTAACTCTTCATTCCTAGCGCAAGTTATACCCTAATTCCATCCTTATGAATTACTCAGCTGTTACTCGTGACTTTCAGACTCTTTAGTCATCTTCATTCTAGTCTCCACCCTCACTTTCTCACTGACTAGGCATTTTTGTTTGTTTGTTTTGCAATTTTACAAAATTTCTGCATTTTATTTCCATTTGTGGAACTAATTCATAATAGTTATTTGAAGCGTTCAAAATTAAATTACCTTCAAGTTACTAGGCAAAGACATGATGTAAGGGTAATCTAATACCTATAAAATTATCCTGAAATTTTTCATAAATACCAAAAAGCACCTAGGAATGAATCAAACAGCAAAACATAACAGAAAAAAAAAAAAAAACCAAAAAAACACACATGGAAAGACTTTCTCACTTTCCAGAACAGAACCAGGATCTTCTTTCTGTACCTCAGTTTCTACAGCTATAAATTAAAGGGTAATATTAATCTCTGACATTAAACTCTAAATCTGTAAAAAATCCATAAAAAAATGTATAAACTGTAAAAGCAACTAAAACATCAAGCCAGATATTAGTTTATAATGACTGAGACTGAAATATAAACTGCTGTTGTTGCATGCATTTGTTTTTTATGACAAGTAAAGTATTAAAAAATAAAATACAGTTCACCAATTTACTAAGATGTGGAAATACTTAATCTCACTAAAAGTTTACCACTATAATTTTAACAGCTATATGTCTGGATTATTCAAAAACCATTATGATGCAAGCTTCTAGAAATTACTCTTAAAAAAACAATTTCATTCTTTCAGGAATTTAAGCACTGAAAATATGTGATATTTACACAGCTCAAAACTTCAACAGCTGATAAGGTCTACATGAGGAATGAATGCTCACAGTCACAACTATGTCACTGTTTAAATTACTTGGAAGTTTTTTAGTCACAATTAAATCTAATTGTTTAAAAATATTTTAGTAAATAAGAAAGCTTTCTATAATCTCTTACACTTACTGTAACTTCATAATCTGACATTCCTAGAGACTTTACGTTATGAGAACTTAGTCTTGATTAGTGTACTGATGATAGCATAGGAACAAAATGATTAAGCATGATTTTTTCTTAAGAAAACAATTTTAGTATCTATCTGTGTTGGTTACAACGAGGGCAGACCTATTTTTTTTTTAACTTTTCCCTTCCTAGAAAGATATTACCACTTTGTAGAGTATTGCCAAACTTAATTCATGCTTCTGCATTAATATGTGATGCAGTCTTGAATGAGCATAGACGTCTGCCCTAAAACTGCAGTCTGAAGGTTTGGATGGCACTGAAGGTGCTGCCTTGCGATGAGTAGGTATCGAGGATGTACTATTTGTACTTGAAGGCCCCTAAACAATGGAGTGATGAGCACCCTTGATTTTACTGTTACTGTGCAATGATAGTGAGAAAGTGGTAGTTCTGTGTGGATTACTAAAAGCATCTGTGTTTCTGGTTGCTTCACTGCATCTGCTGCAGAGTGCACTCTCTGAAGTCAGTGCTGCTCTTCTCAGCCTTCTCCTCCTCCTGGGCAGAGTCTGGAGAAAGCCTGCTGTCAACGGTGTTGCCCATGGGCACCAATCAATCCTGTATCTTTAAGGCACCCTTAGAGGTATGAGTGTATCCACTAAAATGGCTGCCTCTGCAATGCAGACTTCCATTCTGTTCCCTTCCCAGAAAGATCTGCTCTAAATCCACAAAGTTGCAATCATAATTTGCATTTTCTTCATTCCAATTGTACATTCCATTGACTTTGACTTCATTTTCTGTCCTAATCTCCTTAATTATGTGTTTTAACCTGTTGTTGACATGTTTGGCTATATTGTTTGAACCTGGCACAGGATCCTCATGTTTGCAGACAGCGTTAAAGTTGAGACCTTTCTGCATATTGGACTGCTTGGTTTATAGCTGATATGGAATGTAGGAGCAGAGTCGTCTAGCTTTGATGCTTTCCGCATCCACTCCCGTCAAAATACTTTTTCCTCCTTTAATTCTTTAATTTTGGCATTAGGAAGATTTGTGGCAATAATGTGTACTGTTTTATATTTGGAATACTACACATGGTATTGACCTCCATGCAACACTGTTAGCTTTCTCAGTTCCTCAGCAGAAGGATCTGTATATCCATTAACAAAGATGCCAATGCCACTAAAAATTATAGGTGAAGTCCCATCTTTCTAAGCATCTGATTGAAACTGTTCCTCCAGTTTCTAGACTGACTTGGCATTTAGATCACACTTCCTTCATCCTCTCCTACAAACCTCCTTTGACCTGGTGGGTGTGTTGTCTTTGTTAAGCACTTTAAAAACTGGCCCTGGATGCAAGTCAAGCAACCAGTTATTTATTTAATAATTGAAAAATCTGACTTTTCGCAAAATGAACTGTTAATTACTAAGTTCTATGTAGCCAGCACCATATTTAAGGTCAAATAAAGATATTTGATGTATTAGACATTTAGCATATTCATCTCTCACACCGATTTAAGTAGGAAGTTAGAATTCTAAATCAGAAGATCTCTAAAATAATTTTTTTTTCTTTTATGACCTAATCTGTCTTATTGTAAGCCTTGTATATTATTGACATTGTTTCTAATAATTCTCTTTTAAATTTTCTGTTTATTTCCATTGTCAATGGAAATTTAATGTATTCAATTGAATTTTATAGCAAATCATTTAAATGGGTATAGGGAATGATTTGAATGACAACTAATGAATTCCAATAAAATTCCTTTTCTTAGAATTTACTCTCTAATAATTTTCTTTCTTTTCTTTCTCGTAATGTATAGGTATATAATATACTGGGTTTTTAAAATTATAAAACCTGACTTTTCTTTATCTTATTCTTTTTATTTTTCTCATGCACATATCTGATCCATTTTGGTTATGTTAGTAGGTCTAGCAAGGGATTGACAAAGATATATTCACTTTTAATAATTATTTAAAGATGGTCACAATTTATTGGGATGAAGTAAAGATAGTGGCTCTAATGAGGCTTATGGAATTCAATTACACAAATAACAACTTGATTTTCTGTTTTTTCAGATAATCTGGAGTCTGCTCTACCTCTCTTCCTTTGTATTACCTTCAGTATCACACTGCAAGATATAACGACTAGGCGTAAAGATCCCACGGATAATCCAAAGAAATCTGTTCAAGTGGGCATTTGTCAACAGGTAAAACTATACTTTTAACTCTGTTTTTCTTGGCTATGCCCACAAATAAAAGAAATTATGCACCATAGTAATATATTATATAAAACGGTACAGAATTTTCTACAGGAAAAAGAAAAACAAGCATGAAGCTAATGAATGTGTATGAATTGGGTCTTGACTATTGGTCAACTCAAGAGTTGCTAATAAGGAAGAGGTGACAATCTTAGCAGTGGAATTTTTGGAATTAATTAGTTCTGGTTCCACTTTCTAATGGATTGGTTAAGAGACCATAAGATGCCACTTTATATAAAAGAAACAAAATACATAGTAGATAAAGTGATGAGGTATATGAGTGGAGCCTTGCAACCTGTAGCATGCAGCTATTAAAAGCAAGGAAATATGCTGGAAACAGAGAACAAAAGATCATATACTGAGATAATAACTGGTGACTCTGAAAAATTAATACAGAAGAACAGAGAAAAAGATTAAGGAGACCAAAGTGGCTCAATCATATAATGCTTTTTTAAAAAAGAGCCAAGGAAACTTTTGAAAAGACTGACGTATGTAGCATCTGAGAAAATAGTTTGACTTGTATAACAAAACAAGGACAACTCAAATAGTTGATAATTCAAAGAACAAACGTACAGTTTCATGCAATGTACATTAGAAAATATGAATGTAATAGGGACTAGAAATCGGAATTCCTAAAGAGTTTTTTTAAGGCCAGAATCTACAGAAATGGGAAACAGTCTTCTATGGAAGACAGATGCACATATCACAAAAAGTCGTCCAAAATTGTTAAGAAAAGAACTTTCATTTGCTAAAAGATGTCTATGGAGAGGATTGATACTTAAAATAATGGAATGTGTGCTTATGTGTGTGTGTACATACATCTGTGTACATGTACATGGTGTGTATGTGTGTGTTGGAGATAGAAAAATGGGAGAGATTGATGGTATATGTCATTATTATACATTTTTACTTCTTTCAGTTTTTGGATGTTTCTGATTTTTTAGTCTCTTTCTGGATTTGAATGATGGATTCATCATTTACTCATATATACCTTAGTCAAGATACATTCAGCAAATATTGCTTTCCTTTATTTTTCATTTAGAATGTTATGTAAGGTCCACTTTTTCTCAGGCACTTAATACCATAATTGCTACCAGCATTAGCCATAGTATTGCTTTCCATGTCTAGAAAATGCTGTTAGAATATCTGCCTCAAACAAACATATATGGGACTACATTTTCTTTCTACTTATTTATTTAACTTATTTTATGATAAAACATCAGGTTATATCACATTGTTATTTGGAAGGAAATAAATTCATTATTGAGGCTGAAACTTCATAGTTGCAGAGATAAAATTACAGCAGTGGGCACAACAAGTAAATAGGTTTTCTTTGTAGGCACAAATATCCACAGCTATTTATTTATCAATTTATCTTTTATTTAATAAACATACTAAGTATCCTACTATATGCCAATAACTTTACTGAGAACTGAAGATACAATGATTACCTTGTTGTTACCTTAGACTATGATGGAAAAGACAGTTAATGAATAAATAATTAGAAATGTTATTTAAAGGCAACAACATTATAAGAGTTCCTAAGTTATTTATTCGAAAAGTGAGGAATTTGGAGAAAAAAAATGTTTCCTATGGTTCAAATTGAAATCAGAACTATTAAAAAAGTACTTATAACAATGGCTTATAATAGTGAGATAAGGTAAGAATCTAAATATTCCTCGATTTATTGAAATAATTTAGTCAATATTACCCAGTGATGTAACTATATATTCATAAGTTTAAAAAATGAGAAATTCAGCTGTACCTATATACAGTACATTTATTATTAATAATATATTTATTAAATTTGTATATATACATACACATGTGTGTATGTATGTATAGACATATATGTGTAAATATTTACTGTGTTCATTATTTATTCAAAGAAGCACATTATTTCACATTTTGACATTTTTGAAATCAGGGTGTCTTACACTGAAGGCCATCTTACGATCATTGTTGCCAAAGTGGCAGTCATGACAGAGTTATGGTCCATTCCTGTGCAAACTTGATGGTAGTTTCTGATAATAGTTGGATAATTTCAATTGCTTAATATTGTAGTCCACAAACTATTTATGATCCATTAGAGGAAGGACCATAAGTCTTGTTGTCTGAATATTTTCTGTTAATATGTTCTGATAAGATGAAGAAAGCATCACTGTCAAAACTTATACCAGAGTGGCTAGTATCTAATTCCTAGAGACACTAATAGAGCACTTTATAGAACTGCCAGATCATCAATGCTCTTTATAGCTCAGGGGATTCTATTGTGTAGGAAAACATAACTATAGCAAGCTATAAGTAAAAATGTCATGCGGAAGAATCATCATTTGATTGTGAAAATTTTTAGGAATAATTAAATCAGTTGGATTTTTCCCCTTGATACATATTTTCACATATAATTTTGATATAACTTAAAATTGTCATTTCCCATTGGGTAAAACAAGTTACACATATGTATATAATTGAAACTCTAGCATAATATTCACCAATATGTTTATAATAGTTTATTCTAGTGATAGGATTGTGGGTGCTTTATATATTTTTGTTTATTACATGTGTTTTTCATATTTTTAAATTGTAAATTCTCAGTTAATGTCCATATAGTTGAAAATAATAAATGGTTATTAATTTCAAATTTTAAGTAAAATTTAATTTTAAATTTCTGGATTAAAAATAGAATGCATATATTTCCAAATTTTAGAAGAACCACTTGGAAAGCTCTTTTTTCCTTTGGAGCAAGTGCAGCTAGCAAAATATAGGAACTCACATTCACAGAAAAGAATGACTATAAGTAAATGAAAAGACTTTCAAGATTGTTCATAATCACAGAGTGCAAAATAAAACTACAAAGGAATATTTTAAATCTACTGGATTAGGAAAAATAAGATAACATGTATGCATTGGTCAAGATGTGTGGCAAAGAGAATTCTGACACACTGTTATCACATATTTATTTATTTATTTTTGAGACAGAGTCTCGCTTTGTTGCCTAGGCTAAAGTGAGTGTCGTGGCGTCAGCCTAGCTCACAGCAACCTCAAACTCCTGGGCTCAAGCAATCCTGCTGCCTCAGCCTCCCAAGTGGCTGGGACTATAGGCATGCACCACCATGCCTAGCTAATTTTTTCTACATATATTAGTTGGCCAACTAATTTCTTTCTGTTTATAGTAGAGATGGGGTCTCGCTCTTGCTCAGGCTGGTTTTGAACTTCTGACCTCGAGCAATCCGCCTGCTTTGGCCTCCCAGAGTGCTAGGATTACAGGCGTGAGCCACTGCGCCCGGCCTGTTATCACATATTTTTTATACAAAAAATCTATGTATGTATCACAAACATATGTATGAACACACATACACACATATACATACATATATTCAGAAATGAACTACAACCAATTGTATTTGTGTTGTAGTGTGTATTTGTATTTTCAAATATGCCTACTCACAAAAATTTAAGTATGACTTACAGCACTTTTGCAGTAATCACTTGCTGACATGTACATAGGGGCAAAATATTTGAGTTATGCAACACTTGTGTTGCCAGCTGAGGTCAAATAAAGTAACATTCTGCCTTCTTGTTTCAGTTCTCCTACTGAAAACAAATGTCCTTTTGCAGTCTATTTAATGCCAGGTTTTTCACAGTTTTGTGCTTTTGTTGGTGATTTTGCTATTTAAAACGGCCCCCAGGAGTAGTGCTGTCTGGTGTTCCTCCAGTACAAGAAGTCTGTGATGTGCCTTGCAGAGAAAATGCTTGTGTTAGACAAGCTTCCTTCAGACATGAGTTACAGCGCTGTTAACTGTGAGTTCAATGTCAACGAATCAACAATCTACATTAAATAAGGTATCTTTAAACAGAAACACATATAAAACAAGGTTATATATTGATTGGTTGATAAAACTATTGTGATCAGAATCTCACAGAAACCTAATCCTATATTTCACCTATGAGCAACAGTTCTGTATTTACTAATTTGGTGTTCGTGATAACCTGATAGAACACAACTCCTATGCATAATTATAATCAACTGTATTCTGTAATATCAGATTAATAACTCTATATGCATAAAGGGTAAATGTAAAATTATAATATTAAATCAAAAAACTAAGTTGTCAAGAATACATATGAAAGAATCACATTTGAATAGAAATATATGCATATAATATTATAATAAACTATAGACATATAGCTTCATATTAAACTATTAAATTTTACCTGTTTGATCTATAAATTTATATATTTATTTATATAATCAAAATTTTATATGTAATATAAAATATTTAGTTTATTACATAGTAAATTTAGGAATGAATACACATATACATATATAGTATATATGTATATATAAAAGTATATATAAATATACTAAATAAAAGTATAAATAAAATTAAGGTAAATACAGTTATTATCCTGTTTTTACAGATGAAAATGCAGACTCAGAGTTTTATTACTTTACTGAATGTTACAGAGCAAGTGACAGAGTCAGTATCCAAAGCCTTTAAGCCATTATTCTTAATTTTTATGTCACAAGATAAAGCCATGTAAGAAAAATGAGGCTTAAAGGTACAATTTCATATTAAACTAGAATTATAGCGAATGGAATTATAGGCATACATAAATCTCCTCTTCTATTTCTCATTTTTTTGTATGGGAGACATAGCATATTTAAACACTGGGAAAATTCAAATTTATAGTATTATACTGGTGTTGACACCTATTCATTGTGTGAGTCTATATGAACCTTCATGTATGGTTTCCTGTCTGTAAATACTGGAAATTGCAACATTATTAAGTTTCCATATTCATATTTATAACATGATTTGAGTATTAGGTTACAATATTCATCTTGATATAATTATTTTAAAATATGGATTTAAGATTATTTAGAAATGTTATTTATGATTTTTGAAGTGACTGAAAAATGAATCATCAGGTTGCATTACTAAATGTTTACTATAGCAGATGTAATAAAAACTACAATAGTTTAAACTCATGAATTAGTAATGAAAGGATGGCTTAATTTCCTTTATGCAAGCAGGAAAACTGCAGAGTGAGGATATTAAGCGTCATGACTGTTCTTACACTCTGATTACACAACAGTAAGGAGTTTATCACCTAAATGCCATTTGTTATTTCTTCAATATTCTTCCAGTTTTTTCTAGTTTTTGAGCAATAAGAAAGTTAAGCACTTTAAAATACAATAACAACATTTACTAATATATAGATTCAGACTATTTAGACAACTTTCAAAGGCTGACTATTGTTTTCACTTGGTTTAACCAATACTTAAATCTCTCTTCTTTCTTCCATAAACATTATACACTTTTAAAGATACTATTTCCAGTGCTCATGTGTTGTACACTCATTATTTTGGTTTAACTGATGACCAAGGAGAAATAAGCCTATCTTCAAATTGAATAGATGAATAGGTAGATAGATAATTTTTATTGTTTCCAAAAAAGCAAACATGATTATAAAAGCAAACTGTAAACATACAAATCTTTTCAAAATAATTCTTGACAACGTGTGGTATTTTGGGTTGATTTTAGCAGTTTTAACATCTGCACAATATTAACTTATAGAAGTGTATTTGCCCTGATGATATTGATTGACCAGGATTTTCACTGTGTGCATTATTTGTTTGTGATTAAAGGTTTTTATTTGACATTGTTGCTATAGTTTATTTGACATTTTCAGTAGGTTTCTAACATACAGATGTATCCCTATGGGAAGAATTTTTCAAGTTATCTTCTTAATGTTTTGAAAAGCAGATGCCTTTGACTATTTTGATCCATAAAAATATTTTAGATACTGAAAGAATATAATAAAAATACCTAGGATTTTTTTGCTTGTTTTTTCCCTGAATACATTATTTCTAATCAGTTTTATATTGTTTTTAGAGTCAGCAGTGATTTGTGAAATCCAGTCCCTGACATTATCATTTTACTTGGGTCAGGTTTTTTAATGTCCCTGAGATTTGTCTTATTAAAAAACAGGAAAAATACCTTAAAGGACTTTTGTGAAACCTAAACTGAACAAATAAATACTTACTGGAAATAATAGGCCCTTACTTAGCATAATAAGTATGCAGTATTTATTAAGATTCTTTCATCCATTTTTATATACCTATAGATTACGTTAAAGGTTAATTTGAATGTCATACTTTAAATCACTAAGGGAAGAGATTTGAACTTCTGAATCTCTTCCATCTAATTAATGCCACTATATCTAGAGCTATGTTTTTGTGTGTGTGTGTGTGTGTGTGTGTGTGTGTGTGTGTGTGTGCGCGCGCACGCAGATGCTTGTGTGTATTTAGTCAGGAATAACTTGCAATTTTACTTTATTGTATCATCTTAGAAAAATCAAAATGATTTGTTTCCCCCATACCATTTTAAAATTAAACAAAGAATATTTTCAACCCACAGTTTCTAATGGGATAATAGGTGCATTTATCATTTATACCTCAACTTCTTCTAAAAGAGTAATTTGAAATTACTTTCAAAAAAGTAAACATAGACTGAGTGTGGTGGCTCTTGCCTCTAATCCTAGCACTATGGGAGACTGAGGCAAGAGGATTGCTTGAGCTCAGGAGTTCGAGACCAGCCTGAGCAAGAGCTAGACCTGTCTTTACTAAAAGTAGGCATCGTCGTGCATGCCTGTAGCCCCAGCTACTCAAGAGGCTGAGGCAAGAGGATTGCTTGACCCCAGGAGTTTGAAGTTGCAGTTAGCTATGATGACTCCACTACACTCTACCCAGGGTGACAGAGTGAGAGACACTGTCTTAAAAAAAAAAGTAAGCATATATCAAAACATCACAATATATTCCATAAATATATAATATACAAAATTTAAAAGTAACAATACTAAAAAAATAAAATTATTTTTTTAATATATGAATATACAATGTATATAAAACATATTTGAAAGACAAAACAAAACATAGAGTAAAAATGGAAATACTTCTCTATAAATCATGGTGGCAATTGAAGGTTTTATTTGGCAATTTTAAATTGTGATTTTTAGTTTTTGCATTTGCCATATTAAATGGAAACTGTGTAACCAAAAGAAAAATAATTGCTCACAAAGACAACAAAAAATCATAATATGATAAAAGCAGTATTCACAATTATCTATCTATGATTTATAAGATCACAGTAGTTCACTTAATTAGAAATATATGAATATAGAAGAAATAATGAAAATAAATATAAAAAAATATTAATAATGACTAAGTTAGGATAATGTGATTATGTATCATTTTTTTTTTCTTTTCTTAGTGTTCTAATATTCTGTTACAGGAGTTAGAAACTTGCAGTCTTCTGGCTAATTTGCATATAAAATTTTAATGGAACACAGCCATTCCCAATTTTTAAGTATTTTTTAATGGCTATTTTTGTTTTAAAACTATCAAGTTGAGTAGTTGCAAAGGAGACCATATGGTCAACAAAGCTTAAAATAATTTATTTTCTGGTCCTTTACAGGAAAAATTTACATACCCCTGTTTTATAATATATTTTATAGTATAACTACATTAATGTTATAAAATAAATTTCAAAAAATGTAATTATCCATCTAATTCAAAAGTAGCAGGATGGACATGCCATTTGTGACAATGTAGTTAAACCTGGAGGACATTATGCTAAGTGAAATAAGCCAGATATAGAGAGACAAATATCCATGATCTTACTTATATGTGAAATCCGAAAAAGTCAAATTCATAGAAGCAGAGAGTAGTTACCAGGGCCTGGTGCCAAAAGGTTGGGGACTGCTGGGTTAATAGGTACAAAGCTGCAGTTTTTTAGGATGAATAAGTCTAGAGATCTAGTGTGCAGCATGATAACTATAATTAATAATACTGTATTGCATACTGGAAACTTGCTAAGAGAGTAGATTTTAGATGTTCTCAGCACAAAAAAGGAAAATGGTAACTGTGTCAGGAGATGGATATGTTATTTTGATTTACTGTAGTAATCATTTCACCATATATATGTATATCAAAACATCATGTTTTATACCTTAAATATTTCCATTTTTATTTTTAAAAAATAACAGCTTAGAACCATCTCCACAATTATCAAAAAGGGGAAATAACAGAAGGCTGTAACAAAAGCCAATAGGTCATGTCAAAAGGCTATGCAAGAATTGTTTCATTCCTTGGTTCAGCCTTGAACAGGAAGGAAAATCTAGAGTTATAAGTATCAGTTAATGAGGTCAAACGAATGGTGATTAAAGTAAATGCATATGAAAACTGTCTTAGAGATATGTCTGACTCAAGTAAAATGAGAATTTTAACCTTCAGTCCTATTATCTGTTATCTGTAGCTTATACTGAATTTCCTCCTTCCATGAATGACTGTAAAATACTACGTTAAGAAATCTTTAAGTGCATTTGCCAAAATAAACAAAAAAAGAGCTATCATAAAGGTTTTCCACATAATTACTTTTTTATGGTGCTACTGATCATCTTAGTATTTATTCTAGTGAAACAGTGCTCTACCTATTTTAAGGTTCATTTTTATGATTTTTCCTATATGGCTTTCTGAAAGCAAAGTCCTCGTGTATAATCATAGAAATCTATAAAATTTTAATGTAGAGAATATTTTCACTCAAAATCTAAAGTGTGTGCATAGAACATCACTGAAAATATCTAATATGCTATTTGATATTAAGCAAAAATTCAACCCATATCTGTTTTTACAGATATTTGGGGTTCAGGGTAAGCTGTCTGAAGACATGTGGCAAAATTAGTTAATGTGTTTCAAACTTATCTTACCATTAGAAGAGTGGTTCTCTTGTACCTATTCATTGCAGTTGAAAATACCCACAAATGGAATGAGAGTAGGCTATAAGCAAGATGTTGAGAAACATTGGCAACTGCAGCTAAGAGCTAAGCAAGCAGCATTAGTCTACAAAGAAACATTGATGTTAGGGAACCAAGATGTTTCATTTAATTTCAAATGCATTAAGCTATATGAGAGCATTTTCTTCCACAGGATAGTGGCTGCATAAAGTTAGCAGTTATTTATTCCTACACATATCTAAAAGGAAAGCCCTTTTTCCCCACTCTCCTTAAACAAATGTATCATCCTTTTGATTGAGATAATTTAATTGCTAAGAAAAAAATACATTAAAAGTATCATTCTTAGAATGATAGGTAGCACCAGTTTTGGAAGTGCATTAAAATTAACTTAATTTCATAGAAACATAAAACTTCTAATCCTATAGGTTTAAAATATAAATCCAGGCTGAAATGGCCTTAAGTATTCTCAATTATGAAAAGTGGAAAAAATCTAAAATATGCTTACCATTTAATTCTTTATAATTCATCAGATTGAATACATGGTACTTTTTAAAATTTGTACAGAAAATCTTATTAATAAAATAAACATTTTGTATTAAGTAAATATTCTAAGTGAGGACTGTTTTGTTTTTCTTATGCTTACAAATAAGATTGAAATAGCTTTTATTTTTTGGTTGATACTTCAGATATAAATTCTCAACTTCACTTTGAGTAATTTTTGTTGCCATAAAAAAATTAAATGTTGTCAATTTTAGCCCTAACAGTCAGTTATATACCTCACATCAATTTTTCTGTAAATATTCTGATAATTTTCTGAGTACAACAGTATGAAAAATATTCATGAAAAAATCATATTATAGTTATAGCTGTAAAATACTATTTTAGTATCAAGAGTGGTAAAAAATGGAAACAAAGTTTAAACTCTTATTTCATATTTTTATACAGATTACTTGAATTTCAATTAGAGGAGCAGAAATGCCGCCAAGTACTCCACCACCTCAAGTTGTACCTCCAGATGGAGGGTGGGGCTGGGTTGTTGTTGGAGGTTCTTTTATCTCCATTGGATTTTCGTATGCGTTCCCCAAGGCCATCACAGTATTCTTCAAAGAAATTCAGACAATATTCAATACTTCCTACAGTGAAATAGCTTGGATATCATCCATTATGCTGGCTGTTATGTATGCAGGAGGTAAGATTCTTGGAATAAGTAAAATTCTAGTCTAAAAAAAAATTCCTCTATGTCGCAATGTTTTTCATACAGTGTCTTGATACATTAAAGCTCTGTTTTCATGATGTAGTCACTTAGAACTAATCAAAAGTATAATTAGAATTGAGTTTTTAATGATTTTAGTGATTCAACATCTTGAACTTTTCATTTCATTTTGATTCTTTAATTCTTTGATTCTATTGAGTATTTGTTTGAGTGAGAATTTATTTACACAAAGCAAGATTTACTACATTATGCAATTTCCAAGTGAAGCACCTTTCTTCTTAGTTTGGAATAAAGTCTGCAGTATGGTGTTGGTATCATTTTTTACTATCACTACAGATGGTAGAAATGCTTTCTTCTGAATGAGAAAGAAACTCAAGTTGTTCACAGTTTATAAGCCCAGAAAGTACTTCAGCTTAAGCTGCAAAAACTGAGCGTTATCATGTACACTCTGGACCTATTTAAGTTTGTGTGATTGAAATAATTTCTTATCTCTGTAAGACTCACTAAATATGACATATTTTTATTTAGGTGGTTGCCTGACAACTGTCTTGTTACATTCTATGTACAAATGAGAGTATGAATAATAAGGGACAATGAATAAATCAAAGTAGCATCTCACTAATGAATGTTAAAAAAATAAAATTATTAGTGCATTATTATGTCATATGTTTTCTTTAAATCAATCTCAATGGCAGACTAGACTGTTTGATACATTTTTTTTGAAAATCATTACTTAAAATATATGAATTCTTGAGTTTTCATTTTTCAACTGGATATTTGACTTTAAAAAACAGGTATGGACTTGTAAGACTTTAAAGAAATTATATAAACCTGCAGTCCCCATGGACCACTAATGGTCCATGGCCTGTTAGGAACTGGATCGCACAGCAGGAAGTGAGCAGTGGGTGAGCAGCCCAGCAAGGGAAGCTTCATCTCTATGTACAGCCGCTCCCCATGGCTTGCATCGCTGCATAAGCTCTGCCTCCTGTCAGATCAACGGCAGCATTAGATTCTGATACAAGTGAGAACTACTGCAAATTGTACATGTGAGGGATCTAGTTTGTCCACTTCTTATAAGAATTTAATGCCTGATGATCTGAGGTGGAGCTTAGGCAGTGATGTTAGTGCTGGTTAGTGGCTGCAAATACAGATTCTCATTAGTAGAGAGGTTTGACTGCACAATAAATGTAATGCACTTGAACCATCCCAAAACCATTCCCCTGGCCCCAGTCTGTGGAAAAATTGTCCTCCGTGAACCTAGTCCCTGGTGCCAAAGAGGTAGGGGACCATTGATATAAACTATTATATCTAGTGTAGTTTCTCATTTTATTAGTAAGGGTAATATGGCTATTAGTGATGGAGATATAACATTAGTAATAATATCCAATATTCATTAATATGTACTTTTAGTCAAGGCCTCTGTTAAGTACTTGATATGTGTGATATGATATAATCTTCTTAACAACCTTTGAAATAAGTATTATCTTCTTTCTATTTCATAGCTGAGGAAATGGAGAGATAAAATAGCTTTCCCAAGTCAAACAGCTTGTTAGTAGCAGAAAGAGATTGAGATGCCAAACACTATCCTTATGTTCTCTGCTTTTATCATATCTTCCTCTCGATATCTAGAAAGTGACACAGCCAGATCTGGCCCAGGCCAGCAAACCTGATTCAGTATTCTTTCCTCTCTATGCAGTGACTTGTGTGCTATAGTAACCAAGGTCATTTGTTTGGTTACACAATAATTATTTTTAAGACATTATCTCTTTATTGTACTGCCAAGGTAAACATTTGATCCTGAAATAATCCTGTGTGTGTATATTTGTGTGTGTGTGTGTGTGTTGTGTGTGTGTGTGTGTGTGTGTGTGTGTTGGTGGTCATATGCATTTTCTACTTTGTGTATATAGTGATTTTAGATTAATTCAACATATGCTTCCCATATCCTTTTGGTTAGATTAAACATGCATTTTTCTTCCAGTATCTAAAGGTATCTTTAAAATGAAATTTGGTCATGTCAATGAAAACTTCTGCTTCTAAAACACTTTCTGAGAATCTCCTTTGGATAGTTGCTTTATGGATTATAATGGTGTTATTTCATGTGATTATAGAGACAGTAGGAATTGTGCAGCAGGTCTTCTTCCTCTATACTCTAAGTTAGGTGTTATTAATGCTTTGCTAGAACAATACACAAAGTCATCTTGACCTCAGATCCAAAAGTAGCTAAAATTAAGATATGTAGGGTTATTTTTCCTTCTTAAACACAACTGAAACAGACTCATTTAGTGAATTGATATAGGTCCATTGAATTTGGACCAGGTCTTATATATTTATAATTTCTCATTGTACAGATAGTTGACTAACTCTTAAGTATGACACAGATTTATGAAGCTTTTTAGTCAAGTCAAGTCTTAATTCACTTTACTAGTTTTCAGCAAACAACTTCAAATTTTCAGTGGCTTAAAAAAATACAAGTTTATTTCTTTCCCAAGCAATATTTCATCTAGTGGCTATTCGATCACCTAAGGGTTTGTATTGTTCCCTAAATTTGCTCTATCTGCTGAACAGAGTGAAGGCAGACAGTACAGAGGATTGGGGGATCATATAGGATATTTTAGGGACTAGGCTTCAAAGGGATAAACAACATTTCTGTACACATTTCACTGGTCATAACTTCTATACTGCCTTACTTAGAGATAGAGGCCATGGATGCTGGGAAATGCAGGTTTCCTAGAGGAAGAAACAGAATTGGATAGCATCCAGATAGTACTAGGCAGAGCTTGATATCTTAACAGTCATTCCCTAGTCACCAGAAGCAGGATGTGTTTATATACTCATCGTGGTCACATGATAGCCCTCTACTCCCTGGCTGGATAAAAGAAGCATTAGAGTGATGAATGGCATAATTAATTTTCTCAAACCATTACATCTCAATATGAAATTATAACAAGTAAATAACTATATATACTATAAATTAATATTTTCATTTTATTCATACTTATTTTTCTATTTTAGTATACATGGTATAAATTTTTAAAAGCCCAAAAGTATTTCTTTCATCAAGAAAAAGGCAGTTTGATAAAATAGTTATAAATTTGGAAAATATTGCCTTAAAGTTTTTATGGTAATAGATAATAAAATATGTCTGAATTAAATACTAATAGGGATTTTGTGTCTAGTTGTTTCCTCTAGTATTTCAAAGATTTCTGTTTATAGAAGCCTTTTAGGTTGGTGTTATAAAATATATTTAGAGACCATGAGGTGAAAAGGCATAGTTTACTATGAAGTATAATGAGTCTCTCTACCCAGTAACTGAAATATTCTGTTCAACATAATGCTAATTACATTAGCCTAGAGAACATTTAAGATCTGACATACTCATTAGGGCTTAGCACTCAACCTATTAATCACTATGGTGGGGTCATTGAGTAAGATGGAGCATGTTCAGAGTCCTGGCCTGTGATGTCAGGGCTAGAATCTCTTGTAGTAATTAGTTGGCATCTGGGTCTTGGTAGCAAGGTATTATCTTCCCTTCTGATGTCTGAATTAAAAATGAAACTAATGAAAGGTATGCAGGAAGAATAGAAAAGAATGCAAATTATGTTTATACCTTACTTTATCCTTAGAGTAATGGCATTAAATTACAGCAACCCATCTGTCTGTCCATATGGTCTCCGGGAGTTCTAGCAAATTTCAGCAAATAGGTTAAGCCGTGTGGTCACCCCATTAATAAAGCACTAAGTAGAGTTAGACAACATATTACAACTTAAACTTTCTACATTGTTTAGATGAATATAGGAATTTGTTTTGTAAACAGTGATTACATAGGATTGTCTTTTAGTGTAATGTTTGTCTTTGTTTTCCTGTGGAATGATAATCTAAGCATGGTTAGCTACGTAATCACGGAATACAGATTTTGAGCTGCCAGTCTCTATGAGTACCTTCTGATTTTTCTGGTGTCTGTTTTGACTTGGAAGAATCATCCATTCTGGAGAGCAGAATTGAGTTTGTATCCATGGCAACTTATTCTTCTGTTTTATGTGAACAGTGACTGCCACTTGTGCTAAAGTAAGGGTGATGGTTTTGTGATGGACTACTTTCCACAGGGGAACAAGTGTCGAACCTCTGAGCTTATCTTACTGGAAGCCAAGAAACAAAAGGTTTAGCATAGCAGGTTGGTGGCCATAACATACAATGGTTATTTTCCTATTCTTTTCAAATTTTAAGTAAGCTCACTATTTTATTCTGCTTTGTGCCCTAAATATTTTGTGAAATGAGAGAGGCTATTAAAATAATTCATATAGTGCTTTATCTTAGCAGCAATTTAAAAAAGAAGCTCATTCCATTTCTGTGTTTAAGATAGCTAGGATTTTCATCTTAGCTTTACAAAAACCAAAAAGTACCAGTTATACTTGGACAGTCCTGTGCAAGCAGCTTGTGGACTTCTTATGCCTATGCCATGTTATTTATTTAATTTTTTTTAACCTGTGAGTATAAATATTGCTAAAGTTTTCCTAGGAAACATGGTACAGTGTGGCAGAAACTATTATGCTCACCATATATTCATGTACTCCTCTGTATTTCCCAGCTTTCCTTCCCTTAGGCTGAAACCAAGTGACTAGTTCTGACCAATGAAATGTGAGTGGAAGGACATATGTCACCACCAGACCCCTCCTGAACAAGGTAGTTTGAGCTGGTGTGCATCTTCCATATCCATCCTCTCCACTTCAACAACCTTGTTGCATTTGACATGGCTACAAGGGGAAGGTCGTTGACCTACCTCAAACAGAATTAGTAAAAAAAAAAAAAAAATTTATTAAGCTTCTGAGGATTGTTATACAGAAGACCCTACACCATACCGATCATCACAAACATGAAGGCTTAGTTCGTTGTGCAACTACAATATAAGTTACTTAAATTATTTCATGGGAAAGAGAACAGATTATGAGATGTCCTTAGTCAGTTTAGCTTATATTGTG